GAGTGAACCCTAGGTCCTAATTATCTAAATCATAATCTATAAACCCTAAGATGGTGCATTCCTTTTTGTGTCTATATTTGGACGAATCATAACCGTCGATTATTGTTTCTAATTAAATTGATCTTGGAGTATAAGATTGAGAGAATTAAGACCTAGATTTTGATCTTAAAGGGTTAGATTATAGTATCATGTCCGAAAGATCGGCCAATTCAAGGTCTAGATAGTGTTTTCATACTCAAGGTATGCGGTACCCCGGATTTTACCCAGGGTACCATAGAACTCGCCATATATATATATATATATATATATATATATATGGTGACTTCTATGGTGCCCAGGGCAAAATCCGGGGTACGGGTACCTTGGCCGATCTTAACCATTCACTCTCAATCTCCACGGCTCACGTTTGTTGAACCTAACTGCGCCACTAAATAACTAAACAAATTACAAAAAGCCTCCTTACGCGTTAAGATTGTTTTCATCCTAGTCCAACTAACTGCCCCGATTAAATTAAATGGATTAAGACTGCAAACCCAATTGGGTAGACCCACTGCCGCCCTAACCAATTTCCAGTCTCCCTAACCAATTACACGATCCCTCTCTCGTCTTGAGGGACGCCCCTTCATAGTTCCAAGAGAAGTTCCCCATCCAATTTGAACTCCCCAACTTAATCATCTTTTTGAACCCCAATTACTTGCATCCACATTTGACGTAGTTTGAATTTCCCAATTTATTTTGTCTTATTTGTTCTTCGCCATTTTATTTCCCCTCGCCTATCTCTTTCTAACACGATTACGGCGACCATGTCTATTATTGTGTTCATCAAACTTTTCATTTTGCTAACCCTAGGGTTCATGTCGCTAGTGCTTTGTCATCCTGTCTTACCATTATTCTCATTTTCTCGAAACTTCTATCTCACGGTGAAATTAAGGTTTCCTGATATGTAGTGTTCGTCTCGCCCAGAGGATTGAGGAAGGAGATGAAGAAGACAGAATTTGATTCGAATCGGATGGAGAGGTCTCCTTAATTTGTGTTTATGTATTAACGGTGCGTTTAGGACTAATTCTAGTTGGATTGGGTCTGATCATTGATTTTTGCAGGCTTTTAAATAACATTCAAAAGTGGGCTTGTACATGATCCATGCAATATTCAAAAGTGGGTCTGGAACGTGCGAGCCCATTTCATTTCTCCTGTCGTATCAATTCATGCGCCAACCCTAGTTTAACTAGCATGACTTACCCTAGTTTAACCTACACGAGTTACCATCATCATTACATATCTTCCGTAATCTTCTAACTCTTGACATTCTAGACTCAACCGTCTCCATCACACTCACGTCTCCAGACTCAACCCCCACGATCACTTTTTCTTACACCTACATTCTCTCTCTCCTTGATCTTCACCTTCTCCTTGTTCCTTCTTCCTCCAGACTCCATGGCAAACAAAAGTAGATCGTTTGCGGAAATGGGGATACTATCTCTATCAAACGAAGACCGCCGATCCACCGCCAGTCTCGGTGACTATCTTTCATTTACAAGCAAAACTGCAATTGTGGCCGAGTACGAGTTCATCCACCTAAGTCCTTTCCCTCCAGAAGTGAAGACGTTAATAAAAAATCTTGGCTGGGAAAAGTTCTTTGATCTCCGGAGTCGAGGAAGCACAAGTTACTGCCCCCATGTGGTGAGGAAGTTCTACCACAATCTACAGCTTTCTGGTCCGTGTGATTCTCATATGGTGTCGATCTTCCTGGGACATAGAGTCTGCTTTCAGCCTCTTCAATTTGCTGCGATCCTTGATCTTCCCGCTGGAGGACACCCCATTGAGAGCAGAAGCGATCTTGGACGGCTGTACGATTTTGAGTTTGAAGTTGAACTGGCGAAACTCACGAAGGGGCGCATCCAGGCTTCTTTCCTCCCAGATCCTCTTCGATTCCTCCACTGGTTGATCGTCAACTGCTTCCTTCCAAGGTACCGTGGTCATTCCATTATTCGTAAACTTGACTTGTTTATCCTTGTGCATGCTCAAAGAGGTGTTCCTATTAACCTCGCATCTCTCATGTGCCTGAACATGGTTGAGGCTGCTCCCAAAGGGAAAAACTGGTATACTGCCTTTCCCTATGACACCTTCGTGACCACCTTTCTTGAAAGGGTTGGGATGGATATGGGCGTTTATGTTAAGGAGGACCAGTGCGCTTATTTGTCGGTGTACCGTATAGCCGAATTGACCAATACTTTTATTGAGAATCGGCATACGGAGCATGAAGAGACCCCTGAGGCCTCCTCAAGCAAACGTCCTCGGCTTACATGAGAGTCAATTGATGCAGGGCGGGGTGGAGCGTTGGAGCAGCAAAGGGGCCAGCAATGGATGTCTTCTGTTAACAAGTTTACTAAGTCTTTGTTGGGTTTTTTTCCAGTCTTTTGTCTTTTCCTTTATTCTCCAGCACTCAAAACTGCCAGGTACTGAGGGGAGCCAGTACATCATCTGACTAGGAAAGTCTCCTATTTTTTGAATTGTCCAGACCTGGATTTTTCTATGCATGCAATATTTTTTGAATTTTCCATGGCTAGGTTCCCTAAGACAGGTGACGAGATGCAGTAATGGTCATCTCCAATGGTGAAATTTTTGTGACTTGCAAGATGATGTGGAAAGGAGGTGCAATTGCATCTTTAAATTGCTATGATGTGAGAAGCTATTGCAAGGGTGCAAATTTGCATAATGTGCAATTCTTCTTGCAATTCAAATGGACCCGCTGATGGGCCCTTTTTTACTCTTTTTTAAAGATTTTAGATGATGGAGATGATATATAAATTGTTTAGTAGTGGTAAATTAATATGTTGGTCCCACTCATTGAAATTGCATTTGGATTTCATTGTTGTAGAGAGGATGAAGTTGAGAAGTGGCGTTTTCTCAAAATTATAGAAGTGGAAGTAGGGACTACTTATGAAATTGCAAATGAATTTCATTGGGGGTGATTTTAATCCGCTTTTGTTCTAAGCAGTTCCAATTAGGTCGAAGAATGTGTTACTTATTTCATCTTCAATTTTTAATGGTTTTCGAAAATTATGGTTTTATTTATATTTGGTCACAAGTATAGTGATGATGATAGGCGTGAATAGTATGGATTTTAAATGGCTTGATTATAATGATTTTTTATCTATGGTGATTTTTTCCCTTTTTCATCAAGACTATGCTTCTTTTATTCCCCCGGTGACTCTATCATGCTTCGTTTATAGTAAAATACCCTTTTAATTATACACAATAAAGATCCATTAATTATGTAAGCATTTTTATTGTATTTATTAATACAATGAATTCTCTCACTAAAAGGGGAGTGCATACATCATTGGTGGAATTTGAAGGAATGGAAGACTTTCCATATCCTAGGAACATTAAATTAATTAACTAAGAATTTTCTATCTGCCTTGTACGAGTTTTGGTCATTAATTATGCTGATTGGGAGCCAATCCGTTTTACTTTTTGGGTTAACTATACATTAATGCAAATTTAATTAGACAAGGGCAATTGGGAACGAAGTGGAATGATATGATCTCACTTAAACCTCTATACAAGATACAATGGTTTGAAACAGAAGCAACATCACTCACAAGTTGGAAGCTGGAATTTTGGTCAAGTCCCTTTGCCATTTCGGGTAGCTCACTTTGGAAGCCTGTTAGTCACGCATGGCTCGATGAAAATGAGATTTTATTGATTTGTATTGAACTTGGGATATTTGTGAACACCAGGGATTACTTGGGAGCTGGAGATGAAGTCCAGAAGCTCCCTTTTCAGGTTGTGCAAAAGTGTAATTGGAAAGCTAGAAATTGTCACTTGTTGGCTAAGGTAGTAGCCAGGTTAAAGCTAGATACTTTGAGACTCGATTCAGAAGGGATGTCTGTCCGAAAAGTCAATATAGTTTCCACGAAAAGTCAATATAGTTTCCACGAAAAAACAAACCATGTTGTAACCAAAAAACAAATATAGAAAGCATTCACCAAACCAAACCAAAAATGGTTGTCCATCATCTTGAAAAACAAAACATAACATGGTTGTCCATCATCTTGAAAAAAAAAAACGCAAAATCAGGTTGTCCTTGGGCTCTTTGACTGGGTTTCCTTGTGTTCTTCTCTTTCCTTTTTCCTCCTTTCATGGGCTTTCTTGTACTCTTCGACTGCAGCTTCAACTTGAGGGGCAACTTTTCTTGCTTCCGTGAGCACCATATGCCTTATGTAGTTCATGGGCTCTCGAACAAGGTACAAAGCGATCTGCATCCTCCTCACTTGAGTGCATGGCTATCAACATCAACAAACATGGTGCTTAACACATGATTCAAAAATAACAATCAAGTGTGGTTTTCTAATATGCAAACTAGAATTGTCTTTACCCAAATATAAGAGGAGTCCCAGCTTGCGCCATATATCCACATGCAGACCCACACTCCACTGTCAGACCTACATAAAATAAAAGCATTGCATGATAAACAAGTTGATAAGTCGTTGTTTAATATCACACAAAATGGGCATACTTACCGATGTAGTTGTTCTTGATCCTTTGAAGGATTTGTGTACGAAAACTCCGCAATCCTTGGTGGCGAAAATCCCGGACCTTGTTCACGATAGAGAATCTTCCACAAGGCTTGCATAAATCTCATCTGTACAAATTAAGGAACGTTTGTATTTAGAAAGAGGTATTTACATTTTTTTGCGTTATAACGACACAATGTCACAAATTTACCATTGTTTGAACAAATTGTAGTCGAAAGGAATTGCGGTCTTCAGTTGGTTGTGGATCCAAGATATGGACTTCTTCCTTGTCCAAATTAATGACATCCAAGTACCAATGGGCATTATCTCTCATCAGAACACACACCTACATATGCGGAAATTGTCAACACGTATTAAAAAAATAATCTGCAAACCATGTAATACTTGTTAAGACGAACAATTTACCTTGTTCACCATATTGGTTCGACTAAGGAATTTTGATTCGTATAGGTCTAGTACCCTCTTGGGTGTTATTCCACATGAAATCACTAGTTCCTGTCCATGTGGTAGTTGCACAATTGAAATTTTGTCAACACAATATCATTCACGTTAAAAAAACATGTGTTGTATTTTTTTGGTGAGAGGAAATTAATCTTAAGCATAATCGGACCACAACCTGTAGTTCAGCAGGCAGATAGCACACTCCTTTTCCGTCCTTAGAATTTGTCCACAACTCTTCTAGAGTCAAGTGACAGGCCACCGCTGTTATAACCTAATATAACATGGACAAAAAACGCTTCATGATTCTATAGATTTGTTACAAAATAATTCTACGTAGAAAGCATTGATAGTGGACAAACAAAACAAAATTTTGGAGTTCTGTTGATTACTTCAGCATCTACGAATGAGCGAGGGCTTAAAGACCACAATGACTTCCTGTTACAAGAGTTGTTTGAGGTTTTGACCAATACTTCGTCAAGTGGCAGATTGGCTAAAAATATATAGTGAGCAAGCTGGATTTGCTCATCATCATATTCCATACCAGTAGGTAGCTTAAACTTCAAAACAACTGGAATAAGGACCACAAATAAACACGAGTCGAAATGCATTCGTTATGTCTGACGGAATAACGACAAAGAACACTTCAATGGCAAATAGGACACCTTTATTACCTTGTCAACAGAACTTAGAGAAATACTTTTTCCATTTGGCTTCTTTGGTGTTACCTCGGAGTCAGATTCATCGTCCGAAATAAAAACGATGACTGAAGCAGGAGTGGATGGAGTGCTTACACCTTTGGGTAGCCTTGGTTTCTTTGTTGGAGTCACAAATTCGACGGTCTCCTTCAATGACAACGAACCTACGATTAATAAATTAACTAGAATGAATTTCAATGGTTAAAGAGCTATTAGACATACCACAAGCTTGGACGAAGAGCGAGTAATCCTCCTATTTTCCATGTTGTGCCTCTAAGCTTTAGTCTATACTCAAAATTGCGGCAAAAAGGATATGGAACCACTGCTCTACCGCCGAAGATTAATTATATACACAATGTTACAGGGATAAAATGTGGCGACATATTTTTCCCGCGGAAAAATAGTTAGGGTTTAGTCTAAGGTACATGAACTTGGGATAAACATGGGTAGTTATTAAACCTAAAAATAAAAATATATTTTGTTTTTCGATTGAATAAAAAATTGAGTGCTATTAGTAAATATTCACTCATATTAATATTTGATCCTTCCCCATACACGTAGTACACAGATAGAGTCAGTTGGCGTTTGGCTTTACTAAGCATTCCTTTTCATTTTAAATATTTTCGTTATTTCTGAAAATGGTAAAGAAATCACTAAGATAAAGAATAGAAAGTTCAAATCGTTCCTACCAAAAAAATAAGATATCACAAATCGTGTTATGATTCGATTTAATGGGGTAATTATTATGTGGCCCATTCAAGCATTAATTTGGCCATCATTCCCAATAGGGTTTTGTAATCTACATCCTTGGTTCCCCAAAATTTCCCGCAGTGACAATGAAGTCGGAGGCAGACCCACCATTGACGTCGGAGGCAGTCCAAGAAAACGATGGTGCCGGAGCCAATCACAACACCCAGGAAGATAATGTCGTCGATCTCATATTTCTACAGCCTGAAGATATTAAAAAAATGAAGTTCGATGATACAAAAGAAGCCTATGATTTCTACATGGACTACGGGTTAGTCAAAGGCTTTGACATCAGAAAATCAGACATTGGTCATGATAAGAACCAAGTTATGATATGGCGTGACTATGTATGCTCTGGCGAGGGAAAGAGGCGCATGAAAAGCACAAAACGGAAGAGAGAAGCAAGAGGGGAGACCAGATTTAACTGCAGAGCCAAGATGCGTGTTAAACACGACAAGGTCGATGGGAAGTGGTATGTGCACCAGTTTGATGATGTACACACACATGAAACGATCCCCAGAGAATATAGACACTACATGAAAGGGAAACTTCGTATGAGTGATGCAATCAAAGCAGCGATAAATTTTAGAAGAGCTGCAGGTATGAAAACTTCTCAAATTGTGAATCTGGTCGTATCAGAAGCAGGAGGCTACGACAATTTGGGGTAAACGAGGAAGGATGCATATAATTATGTGGACAAAGAGAGGAAAGACCAAATCAGTGAAGGTGATGCCGCAACAGCTCTAGCCTACCTGCAAGCTAAATGCAGCGCAGACGATTATTTCGTTATTGAACTAAAGAAGGATGACGACGACCGTCTTATTAACATCTTGTGGGCCGATAGTGTTTCTGTTGCTGATTATGCATGCTTTCTGTTGCTGATTATGCATGCTTTGGAGAATTACTGTCATATAATGCTACTTACAAAAGGAACATTTACCAGATGCCTCTCGTGATTTTTCAGGTACTTTTCCTTCACACATAGAATTATCCCGAGCATGCTAAAATAACCCTAGCAGTTTGCATAATCTAACTTATTTTGTACTTTTTAGGTGTCAACCACCATTCGCAAACTTGTGTATTTGCATGTGCTTTCTTGGCTAACGAGAGAGAGGAAAATTATATTTGGGTGTTGGGAGATTTGAAGAGAAGGCTAGGCGGTGTAGATCCCAAGATTGTTATTACAGATGGGGATAAAGCAATGCGTAATGCTATTCATAAAGTATTTCCCGATTCAACACATCGTCTATGTTCCTGGCATATAGACAAGACTATAACCAGAAGTGTGAAGAATCATCCTACTTTTTTGCCCCGATGGAAGCATTTTGTGTCAGCTGATTGGGAACCTTCAGAATTCGAAGAAAAGTGGAAACAGTGGTTGAGGAATGCTCCCTTCAGCACAACAATTGGGTCTCCAATTTATTTGAGCAAAGACATGAATGGGGGTTTGCATATTTGCGTTCGAAGTTCTTCGCAGGCTTGAGTACAACATCAAGATGTGAAGGACTGAACTCTCAACTTGCCAATTATATCGAGAAGGATAAAAATCTCCTTGAGTTCTTTATTCACTTTGATCGTTGGACTAGGGATACGAGGGAGAATGAGCTTCATGCTGATTTTGAATCCATTCATCGAGAACGAACTATCACAAGCAATGTCTTAGTCTCACTTCAGAAGAGTGGAGCGACGGTTTTCACAAAGAACACATTCTTCTTATTCATAGACGAGGTTGAAAAGTCGGCATGTTACATAAGGGTGGAGTCAGAGCGATCGGAAATTGAGCGTGTGTACAAAGTCAAGGTGTCTGGCATGGATAAGGTTTTTCAAGTCACGTACACAGTTGAACCCTTTGCAATGGAGTGTAGTTGTAATCACTACGATTATATGGGAATACCATGCCGTCATATGATTTTTGTACTGAAAGAAGAGAGCATACTGGAACTTCCGGAAGGCCTAGTACGTCGAAGATGGTCAAAGAAGCCGAAGACACTAGAGAGCTTGGAGGAACCGAACATAATAGATGAATCACAACTTTTCGCATTGAGGTTTGCCATGACTATCACTTTTAATTTTTCTTTTTTAATATTGGTTCGAAGCTAGGTGAACGTTAATTTTACTCACTTTGTATAAAATATTGTGTCAATCATGTATGGTACTATTCAACAAAACAGCTTACAACTAATGTTAAAAGGGGCAAAATCTAGTGAGTGCTTCAAGATTGCTCGTGAGGGAATTCAATCAATATGTGAAAAGCTGGACATGGTGGACACTGTCAACGTAGAAATACCCGACATTAATAGACCCAAGGCGAATGATATTTTGTTGGATCCATTACAGGTCAAAGCTAAAGGTTCGGGAGCTAAAAAATCTAAAAGGAAGAAAGGAGAACCACGACAGTGTAGTAATTGCGGGGAATGGCGCCACTATAGGACCCGATGCCCACATCCTGTTGGCTATGTGAAGCCAACCTCAAACGGTGATGCCCCGAATGCTGGTGTTTCGGAAGAAGGTGGCGGTGGCGATGACACCGATGTTGATCCTCCCACCACTCAAAATCAGTCGGAAACAGTACCGAAGAGAAGGCAAAAGCATTGCAGTAAGTGCGGTTCTACCAATCATAATGCAAGAAAGTGTACTGGGTCTGGGCCATCCGATGATGAAAATGACGATTACGACGATTACGAGCAACCTAGGGTAAGAATAAAATATAATTGTTCGTGTCTACACAATGGAGTTGCATCCAATATTTTTGTACGACTAAAATCGTCGTTATCGATTTTGCAGAAGAGGCCTGTTACCAGAAGTAGCAACCTAAGGACCAGAGTTTTGGACACTTGAGTTCTTCGGAATGCGTGTGTATAAGGGCTGCAACTATTTGATCAGTGTTGAAAACTTGAAGTGAAGATGGAAGTCCTTATCCTATTCGGATTAGGATTATGTGAAGACTGCCACTGTCAGCTTGAAGCGGCGTCGTTTGGTTTATAAGAAGACTGCTGCCTTCTGCGGTGTCGTTTTATTTATGTGTCTCTTTGGTTTATAAGAAGACTGCTGGTTTATAAGAAGACTACTGCCTTCTACGGTGTCGTTTTATTTAGTTCGGATGGATTTGATTTAATTCGATATGGAGGCTGCTCCCTAAATAAATCATGTGCAACATTTCAGTTGAATAATTTTTCTCACTCGTTTTTTATTGAATTATAATATCGTATTTTTTACTTGTTTATAAATTTATTTAATATTGGCTACTAAAATTATGAAATGAAAATTTTCCTTTTTCCATTTCACTTTATTATTTTAGGCGTGAAATGACAAGAGCATGCGGCGACAGAGGAGCACAGTTCGAAATCGGGAAAAAATACTGTTGGCCCAATAGTAAAAGACTTCTGAAAATGGAGTCAATAATCAAGAAATAAACTACAATATTTTTATTGAGTGAAAGATCCCTCACCGATCTATTAAGATTTCAAAGACTAAAAGTACAAATCTTGAAAAACAAAACAATTTACTTTCCCTCCCACTTTTATACTATACATATGGCAACTTTCCCCCTCTTGTATATATTTTCGGAGCATGATTAACATGTACGCGTCAATGTCGCACAAAAAAATCACCATATGACGTAGGGTTCCACAACACCTATTATGGAATCGTAACAACATATGATGATTTTTTCGGCGATATTCAGACGGCGACTTATTGTCATTACTCCCCTCCCTGCCTCTAACAAAGACCCTGTATGGAGAGAAAAGAAGAAACAATAAAACGAAGGAGTTAGTTTAACAGTCATGATCTAACAATGATATAATGAAAGGAACTGAGATCTAAAATAATACGCAGTCTCATCATTACCACTACACCCGAAAATAAAGCATGGGACAGGAGCACGAAGAGGCGGATGGGGTTGATTCTCAGAGTTCCATATCGAGAAAATGGGAGAAAGGGTTCTTTTCATGGATTGAGAGGAGAGGAACGAACAACAGCAGGAGATGAGTGCCTCTCGGGTTTCGGAGCATGGTCTCTCC